AGTTACAGATCCAGTTGATGCGGGCATCACGACGGATGGCCTTGTGCTGGGGGTCGACGAGAATGACCTCGTAGTACTTGTAGGTGGAGTCCTGGTTGATCCAGTAGGAGTTCAGGACGCGCAAGTTAGCAGCGCGGCGGCCAACACGCTCCTCAGCGGTGGACTTGAGAGCACGCTGGTACTTGAGCTGGTTGACACCGTGGTTGGTGGGCTTGCCTGTTCACACAATCACACATTAGTCAAAAAAAATTCCTTTTACTCCCACAGATCTCCAGAAGATCTGTATTCGACAGGAAAATTCGTACCGAAAGTGGCACCCTTGGCGACAGGGCGTTTGCGGCCACCGCGGCGGACACGGGCACGGTAGATAACGTAACCCTGCTTGGCCTTGTAACCGAGACGACGGGCCTTATCGGGGCGCGAGGGGCGCGAGGCACGGTGGATGGCGTTCAGCTGGCGGAGCTATATTATGCACTCTCAGCAAAGTTCAACGAGTGTATAGCAAGACACATGAAGCCTAAAGGGTCTTCTTGCGTGCCACAATCATTTCCGCCGAATGACTTTTTTCAAGCCGCCTAGCAATACCACAAAAAAACGGCATATCCTAAGGCAACGCTCACGAGCGCTCGGCGGAGATGTTAGGCAATCGAGGGGCGAAGGAATTTATCTCACCTCCCAGCATCGGACGCGCAGCAGGAAGCGAATCACATCGGACTGCTTCTTCTTCTGGATTTCTTCCACGTACTTGAGGGCACCCATCTGGACGGTTGTAGGTCAGAGAAATGCACTGGCGGTTGAGATTGGATTAAATGAAAGATCATCAAACGTACCTTGTCGGCTGTACGAGGTCGTCGGTTGTCGTTGTCGCAAAAAGTTCGAGGAGGAAAACGTCTAGAGGCAGAGGTTGTGTGTGGGACGCTAGCGATTAGCGAGTTGACCCACTGCAGCCAATCACGGGATGAACTAAATTAATGCCTTGAATACCAGGTGTCAGTCTCATGTTCCTGCCCCAGGCAGCAAATATGTGAGCATTGACCAACGCACCGTACTGATAGATCAGGCGAGCCCTGGTGTGAGTTCTGTTCATTTTCTTACTTGGGCAGTATTGAATGAAGATCAAAGGCCATTGATGGAAAGGCACTTATTCAAGTATCATTCTTTCCTACAATTTTCCCTTAGGTATTTATCGTGCGGTTCATATTGTAGACCAATGGCTAGAAGTAAAAACAGACATACTAAAACCCATCAGTTTCTTCAAGTCTTCGTCAAGGACAGAGGCTGTACTATAATTGGAAATTTTCTGTTCAACTTGTTTGATTTTGAGATACATTCGCCAGATACTCAATCGCTATCAAAATATCATACGAAAGCATTAACATTATCAAATCACCACGCTCAGTAAATGCAACTAATAATTTTCGCCCCCTCCATGCTAGCATAGAATGCATAATCTTCCAATATCAAAACTCACGAAATAAAAGCAAGAACGTTCTCATGTGTTGTATTCAAGAGCGCCTCGAAAGATACTCTTGTTCGACCATTTCATTGGTCACGGAGATATAGTACGAGCCCGCTGGCAAGACGGTCTTCTTGCATAGAGGACAAAGGCAGCAGTTCTGGGTTAAGAATGGATCGATGCAAGCTGAGTCAAATATGTGTCCACACGGTAGTTCGCGGACCGTAGATGACCCAGCAACGAAATCGTCGAGACAGATAGCACAAGTTGTTTGGGTGTAGCTCAGACGGTATTTGCTTCTGGAAGAATCGTTCTGTCCATGTTTGATCATCGCTGCCTCTGGTTTCTGGATTCCAGTATCGTCTTTGGCATGGTTGTCTTCGTTGAGCAACAGCGAGTTGGTCTTGTCGCCAGAATCAGGCTGTATTGGATTCGCCGATGAAATATCTTGTGGAAGAGCTGCTTCTGTTGGAGGAACAATCTCCCAGTATGTATAAAGTGGCAATTTGTTAACCACCTCTTGGGGGGCAATCATTTGGTTCAATGCCAAAGCCTCAATGTCGACTTGACCTGCATTAACACGTCTCTGGAGCCGAGCCCGTCTCTTGCGCAAGACAAGTCGATAAACAATGATTAGGAGGATACTGAGTATCAGAACTGTCCCTGCAATTGCAAGTACAAAACTCCAGACGCTCGTAGCCGGTGTAGTTTCTTCGCCTGCGATATGTGAGTATAGATTTGGATAGTGACGCATTTTTGTGGCCTACCAGATTCAATCCTAGCAAACAATCGGCTAGTCTTAGTCTGTATCATAAAATCCTCGCTCAAGTCCTCTCGCTTGTAATTTAGTGTCTCAGCTGAATACCACGAGAGATCATTGATCAATGAGATTCCAGCTGGTCCTGGAATAGCATACACTGGGTAATTGTTGTCCATTCTCCATTTATCTCCGTCGTTGATTGCCCAATGAGAATTGTCTGAGTCAGGTGGTAAGCTGGTCTCGTTCTCTGACGGCCGAAAAAAGATCATAGCATGCGTGTCGACCTTTTGGGCGGCAGAGAGGAACGATAGCGAACATTCGGCGGTTACCCATGGAGCAAGGCCAACTAAGGAGTATCCAAAGTCTGACACATCTTCATAGCGGGTCACATTTTGCGGCACAGACGAGGCGGTAATGTCATAGCACGGATCATGCGGCTCCAGACTGGGTACAAAGAGGAGGCCAGATACTAATCCGTCCTCGGGAATGCTGTTGCTTGATATCGTTTGAACCTTGCGATCGAGAACAAACCGATAGGCGACATTATCCTTTACAATTAGGCGAGTTAGGATCAGCCCGGGGGGCTGTTGTCAAATTCTGAATGAAGAAGGTATACTTACTTCGACTGAGGAGGTAGAATTCGAAGCTTGCCCTTCACCTACCCAAAGTGTAGCCACTTTACCGGCCGAGTCATTTCTCGTAGACATGGTAGCAGCTGGCATGATGCTTGATATTGTGTTCAAGTGAATAGTGAAGATTAATTTCAAGTAAAAAATATACTGGAGTCTAGATGGTGAAGACCAGTGAGGAAGGTGTGTGCATACTAGTAAGGGAAACAAGTTGAATATGAAATAGTTTGAAAATGGCAACTACTATTATTTTAGGCAATGTCATTTGAGACGATACTCAGCCTTGAAGCATCCCATACATCCTCCTAATTAGAGCTCTAGGGTGGAAGAATGCGAGAGTCAATCGGGACCGTCACAAGAATGTAGAATAAGCCTGGTTCCAACCACGAGGCAAGAGGCAAAATATCTTGGCTAAATTACACTGAGTTTCACATTTCGAAGAAATATCCGTGAACGAGTAAACAAGTAAAAATGACCGAGGGCATGGCCTACATTGTATACTTCGCTAAACATGGCCGTTCGCGGTAGACCGTTTGTGGAGATGATCATCAACAAACAACTTTTTCAAGCTTTTGCACTTGGCATGGGGATTTAGCGAGGTTGTGTTATAAATAGTAATTCTTCAACGCTTGCAATTCACAAAAGCTCTATATTACTTTCTGATGCTCATCCCTCAGAATGCGGTCGGAGTAGCCGACATTGGGGTTTTCTCTCCGCAGAATGTCAGAGCAAGATAGATGTGTGTCAACATTTCCCGGAGGCCATGTGTCAGCCGTCATCTGGTGAGGGGCGAGGTGTATAGTGCGTTATATAGTGCAGAATAACAATTGAATCATCTCAAAGCCTGCACATACCCAGGCACTGGGAATAGATATTCAATTCCCCAGTGTTCAGGAACCGATAATTGAAGATGGTGCACGTGATGATAGTCATATCGTATCGCCATCACGTGGATATCTCTGGCCGACCGACAACCATCATTCACCTTCAGGAAAGTTATAATTCATCTGTTTTTGAGGGGATCTCTTGCTCTGTATCTGCATTAGCTCATGATCAGGCACTTTAGGGGATATCCAACCTCCTTTCATTCTTCTTCGTTCTCAGTGACCAACGACAGCATGTGTCTGTCTAGTCCCATCCACACCTCCTAGGATCCTCTCTGTCGACCAATCTCTCTTTTCGTTGATACTTTCTTTGGTGTCTTAATCATTCCATCCCTTCTTTACCCTTCATCCGATTATCGGTCTGAAGAAATACCATGCCGTCCGCATACAAAGGCAAAGGCAAAGGCCGCGATGCACGCCAGTCGCGTAGCCGCAATACCACCCCGTCCAGCGCTAGTGCTCCCACTATCCCATCACTGCCCATCCAAAGCTACTTGGAGAACGATGTCACCAAACACATTGACTTGGCTAGTACCCAGTACTCCGATGTGTTGGATCTGGTATCCGCGCAGAACATTCCAGATTCGAAAACACTTGAGACATTGGTGGAGCACCTGAAGGGTCTTAGTGACATGGCCGATATTCGGGGCGAGGTTTGCAATGCTGGAATGCGCGAGATGTCTCAAAAACGCAAAGAAGTGGAAGATCAAGAGCTTGATCGTGAAGTTCGAGATCGCTCCAAGTTGAAACGTGAAACCGAAGAGGATGACGATATTCATAAGGGTGGGAAGCTGAAGAAGCGGAAAGAGCGCCCAAGTGGAAAGGAGGAGCGGCCATTAAATCATGGCGCACATGAGGTAGCCCGTCAGGATGGAGCTGAGACTAAGGTTGAAGGAGGTAAGAGATCCAACTCGGCGCTTTCTTCCCACTCTTTGTTTTTATGGACCCATCTCCACAACTCTGATCTTCTTTCATTTTCCCCCACCGTTCAACCTTCACTAACCATCAGAAGCGGCTTCTCCAGCATCGAAAAACTCCAAGAATGCGATATCGGATGAAAGCTCCTCGCTTTCACCTCCATCGATGATGTCCCCCAACGGCACGACCACTGCTGGCGACGGCCCTCCCCCGGGACCCCCGGGTCTGAAACCAGTTCTGATTCCCACCAACCTGAGCCCCAGCCTGCAATTCCTCAAATCCAAGTCTTTGGCGAAAACCCGCTGAAGTTTGATGACCCGACCATTTACAACATTCGAGATGTTCTCCCAGGCATGACGGACGATGAGAAGAAAGAGATTTACAGCGTTGCCCACTTCCCTAAGACCGATCTTGCCCACATGGCAGCTGGTGTAGCTCCTGACAAGGACTTCAGCAACGCCAAACCTTCCAACCAAGTCAGCGCGAATACTTTCCAGACTTACATTGAACCTTACGTCCGGCCTCTTACCGAGGAGGACATTGCCTGGTTGAAAGAAAGGGTGGGTCAATTGCAGCTACTTTTATGTCAACATAAGCTGACCTATCACAGGGTGATCGTACTACCCCATTCATCATGCCCCGTCGCGGAAAGAAAAGCTATCGTCAAATTTGGGCGGAGGAGGATGGAGTGTCCTATGACTCGAGTCAAGACGACAAGGACCAGCTGCCTTTGAATCAAGGCCGTGGCAGTATTGAACAGCTGACTGACGATAAAGCCGAGACCAACGAAATCTCGGTTGGACCTCTCCTCAGCCGACTCTGCTCTCTCCTGCGTTACGAGCACCGTACCTTACCCGAAGATTCCAACCCAACCGCAAATGGAGATACTGGTAGTGTGAGTGGATTGGGTGGAGACGCAATGGACATCGATCAACCCACTGTTGAGAAGGAGAACAAGAGTGAAACCAAGCCTCTCCCGGCTGCAACCACCTTCCGCGACGCAGACCCAAACGACTTCAAAACTTCGGTCGCAAAGCTGGATCATGCCCAACTGGATGAACGCGCCAAGGCCGAACTACGATTCATCGGTTTCCTCGGTGCAGATGATAACCCAGACTACGACGCTCACTACGATGATGAAGTTGCTGAACGACTCCGCCTACTCCAAAGCGAGCTCAAGAAGCAAATCGTCACCAACAATGCGCGCAAAGCTCGCATTCTGAAGATTGCCCAGGAGCACATGGCCATGCTTGAGTTTACTACCATCCAAGACGACCTCGACTCTCAGGTCCAACAGGCCTATCTCAAGCGCACCCGCACTATGGGCAAGAGCAAGAAAGGCGCTCAGCCCAAGCACCGTCCTGGTGGTGCAGGCGGTGGCAGCCACGTCGCTGGTGCTGCGGGAGTTTCCCGTCCTGCCGTCGGAGACGCAGCAAAGATCGTCATGGACCGTCGTCGTCGTTGGAACGAGGCATTCCTGCCTATCTTTGACGACATTAAGACTACCATTCCCTCCGAGGGAGAATCGATCTTCGACTCAGAGGTTATGGCTGAATACGAGAAAGCCGAGCTTGAGAATTGGGACGAGGAATAAATTCTCCGTCCTCTCCGCTCTCTTCCGAGTTTCTATCACTCGACACGTCCTCTGTCCTTTGGCTGCCTCTGAGCCACCTCAACCTTGTTTTTGATTTATTTCCCGCACGATACGATACGAATGCATGATGGACTGGCGTGGCGTTAGCGGATACCTCTTTTTTTTTTCTGTTCACCCATCAAATGTTGAACCCTCTGGCGTGGCTATGCAGGCCGCTTGAAGATACACACTGGATCGTTTCCACGTGCCTCTAGCTACATAATTAGGTGTGACTATGTCTGTGTATACTTATTCTTAACCTCTGAGCTGTAAGCTTACAATGAAACCAAATTCTCCAATCTTCGATTTTCAAATTTTCAGTGGTACATGTAGCACCTCAATATATATTTCCAACCACGTCAACGCCAAAATGATAAAAAAAACTAGGGTATCGATCAATTCCAACAATCCAAAAACAAAAAAGAAATCTACCAAATCATCTATGAAGAATTAATACCTCCCAAGGATACCTCTTTAGCCTAGCCGTCAACTCCCTCTCACTCATCTCCAACTCCGTACAAACCTGATCAAAGCAATGCGTACCATCAAGATACTTCCCAAGAGCTTCATCCCCAACAATCTCCTCATCTTCCTCCCAAAACGCCGACGGCGCCCCTCCACTCCTGTTCCCATTCCCATTCCGACTCCCACTCATCAACGACCCGGACCCAGCCCGCTCACGAGTAGACTCTCCCCTCATAGCCGCCGAGATAGGCGCATCCTCTGAAACACTCGAGAACGCATATGGGGTATTAGTTCCCGTAGTCGCGTGCGACGAGAGACCCGTCGGCGTGAACGAGGACGCGCGCGGCGGGGGCGCAGGTTGGCTCGTTGCGCATGCGTACTTGTGTACGCGATACAAGAAGCCCTTTATCACGCCGAAGGTGATAAAGCGGCGGATGTCGATGTTTGCTAGGGCGCGGCTGTGCGCTGCGTACCATTGCTTGACGCTCTGGCCTTGTTTCAGACTTGCGTAGAGCTCGACTAGACCGACGCCATCGACGATCGCTGGTTTATGGAATGCGGTTGCGGATGTTGTGGTGGTGGAGGTGGAGGGGTTTTCTTCGGGGCCTAGGAGGGGCCAGATTTCTTCGGCATCAAAGCGGGATTCCTCACGTGTAAGGCTTGGTGCTGGGTTCGTGGTGAGGGAGCTGGAGAGGGGAGCTATTCCTGGGCTACCGTTTGTGCTACCGTTGGCGCTTGGGGATCTGACTAGGGTTGCGGGGAGAGGGGAGTCTGGACCGATTGGTGGGTGTGGTGCGAAGCGGAGGTTTACGTAGCGGGCACATTCTAGTTGCATGGCTTCGTCGGAGGCTATTGTTGCGGTGAGTTGGGCGGTTGGAGCGTAGATGGCGGAGAAGGAGAATATGTCGAGGATAAATAGGCAGCCGTAGTAGAGGAGGTGTCGGAGGGCACGGCAGGTGAGGGAGAAGTCTGTGTCGGCTAGGACGGAGATGATACGAACGCTATTGACGCCGTTGATATGTGGTACGATCTGACAGGATTTAGCTGTTGTGTTTCTAGCCATAGATGTAATGTCATCTTTCACATACCCTTTGCATGGTCAAGTCCCAATTCTCATCCATGAAGGCTTGGTATCGCAACGTGAAGAGCGGCACTTGCCAGGCCTTGACGGTTGGGGGAGAGGGATATATTGGGAAAAGCTTGATGTTCAGAGTGTTTAATTCGTCTGGATAGGAAAGTTAGTAGAGGATTCATGCTAAGCGGGTCCATTGACATACCGATGGGAATCATGCACTCGCAATAATTGTTCAAGTCCTCCATCAACATCTCACAGAGACTATGCACTTTCCCCTCACCACTTTTCGAGAAATCGCGGGACAAGAAACCATTCTGCTCTTCCAAACCATGCATTAGGTCTGCTAGCTTTTGCACCACGCTCTTATACGTGCTGAAGTCGTCTTCCTCGGCCAGGACTATGCAGAAGTTGAAGATGAATTCGTTGCGGTCATACCGCACTGACTTCATGCAAATTGGGTAACCCAGGATACGATATCCGTTTGTGCAGACCTGCAACAGGTTCCCACAGAGCTCCTGGCGGGGGATCACGAAGAAGGAGACATCGGAGAATGTGAGGAAGGGTGGTTGTGAGGGCGCGGTGGGGGTGGGTACGATAGCTCCGTCGGGGACCTGATGGACGACTTTAGGACCTGCATAACAGTAGTCAGTATCGAATTGAAGGTCTATCATGGTATTGAAGGTCCTTCCTTACCCTCTATTGTGTCGAATTTACTGTAGAAGATTGCTTTGATCATGGTGGAGACGCTGTATTGTTTGGAGCAGTGTGTGGTGTTTGGAGCAGTGTGTGGCAGCACAGTCTATCGGCCAACTTCAATCTAAAATAGAGCTGAAATGAGGTTCATGTTCATGTTCATGTGCCTGTTCATGGCAGATCAGTTGCGGAGCGGACCTCGGAGCGGAGAGCTTATCGAAATCAATATTCCTGACTATTCCAAATTAGGTTAGACTATATACATTGTGTCTGATTGGCCGAGCCCTGTTGAAGTTAAGCTCACGTGCACGTATATAATTTCCAGGTTGTCTACCAACTCTCCTGGATTCAACAATATTGTCTGAAAAGCCACTAGAACATGATTTACATTTTCTTCACAAAGCCAACCTCCACCACCCTGTCCGTTTCAACATTCAAGTGTTGAATTTTGGTTCGGCTAGCATCTCGCATCCACAAGAATGCCCAGAGGAAGAGTCGACGAAGGATGTTCGTCTCGGCCGGAATCTTTAATTGTTCTTTCCCGACAATATAAATCACCTGAGAATTCCACGCCCGATCAAGCGCATCCAGTTCCTCCTTATCACTCTTTGGTGATTTGGAATTATCCTGGGCGGTTAGATAGCCACGAACTAGATCGTGAACTAATATCCCAAGGTCAGGCGTGACTATTTCATCAGTATATCCATGGCGGACGATCAGCCTATAGCAATTAGGTATGGCTTGCTTGCTCTGATTAACGCCGTATGTGTAGCAGCGATTGACCGAATACCGTTCTTCTGGAGCGATTGTGGGCACGGACAAAGATCGCAGGTGAAGGAAAACGGACACCTCAGGTGCAGCGCTGAACTTTTGGATGAAGTGAAGGAAAACATTTGGCGTGTTATTCGACATGCCGGATTTGTCGAAAAATATCCCCAGACCGCTGATCGGGGTAAGGGCAGAATTCTCTGAACCATTCTGAAGGAGAAGTTTGTTTTCTCTCAGTACGGTCGTCCGGGATAAAGGTGTATTATCGGACTCTTCTGCTTTCCACTGCTCCTCCTTTCCATACCGCCAGAGGACAAAAATGCAGGTCAAAACAGCAGCTAGCATCAGCGTGAACCATGCGCCGTGTGGAACTTTGCTTAAGGCAGCCGAGAGGAACATGCCATCCCAGAGCGCGAAAACCAGGAACACAGGCAATACCAGGTACATGGGCAGCCTCCACACAATAAGTGCAACAACTGTCACCATGCAGGTCGTGAGGAATGAGACAAGTATAACACATGCTCCGTAGGCTTCGCCGAGGGCAGTGGTCTGTAGGAAGGTCAGTGAAATCAATATGAAATGCAGTTATTAGAGCACATACATTATTGTAGACGGCTGTCACAATGATACTTCCAATCATCATGAGCCAGTTGGCGAGAGGAATGTATACTTGCCCGTGGACAGTCTTTGAAGTATGGTAAGTTTGAATCTGAGGGAAGTACGATAACTTCATGATCTGCGAAAGCAACTAGAATAAGTTAGATACCAGTTCGGAATCACCCTATTCTTCACTTACCTGAAAAGATCCAGTGATGACAGCCTGACTTGCGACAATACACGCTAGGATTGCGATCACGAGGCTTGGATATAACATGCCAGGTGGCAAAGAGAGATAAAACGGATTAGCATACGCACTGGGCACCCGACTGATATAAGCGCCTTGGCCAATATACTAGGGGGGGTGTAGTTAGAATATTTGTTTCTGACCAGTAGGTCAAATCAGGAAACTAACCGACACTAGAAGACACGGATAGACGAAAAAGAGCCAAGAGATTCGAATTGCCCTGCACCAATTGTCAGTGACCATGAGCATTGTTAGTCTTCACAACCTTGTAAGCATACCGTTGGCTAAATGCTCCCAGGTCCGCAAACAATGTTTCAACACCGGTGAAGGCGAGCAAGATTCCTCCCAACTGCAGCCATCCGTCTTTCCCATTTCGCATCAAGAACGAGCCCGCGAAGTAGGGAGAGAATGCTTTGAGTATGGACGCATCATAATGGACCAGGTTCTAGGATAGAAATAATAGATAAGTATTGCTCCTCTTGGAATTCCAATTTCATTTGCTTCCAACTTACATAGATCCCGAACGACAGATTGAAAACCATCCATAGTATAACAATTGGAGCAAAGGTGGTCGCAATTTTGCTAGTTCCAAAGGGCTGGATAATGAAAACGAATACGAGGATTGCACATGATACACCGACGACGGTGGAGGAAGAGATATTCGGGTTCACGACGGTAATCCTAGATAATCTTAACTTGTGTTGATGTACTATATTATACCTAAGCCAAGCTTACCCTTGAATTGCCCCAAGAATAGACTGTGCAGGGGTCAATACTCCGTCTGAAAACAATCATTAGTGACTTGAATGGAAATCCTGGTGATGGCGCTTGCCTGCGAGAATGAGTGAAACGCCAAATGCGCCGACAATTTTGAGTGTCCATTTGATGAACGAACTTCGCTCCATGATATTACGAGTCATTAAATTCGGTTTTTTCAAGTCGTTTGTGTTGTATCGTTGCATTTTCACGAGATTTGTGTGGCGAGGGTCGTGTCGGACGAGTTTAGCCTAAGCATAATATGAGCATATCTGTGAAAGGTCAAGCGAGGTTGGTGTAGCACTTGCATATCGTGACAGGAGGGAGTATACAGCAAATGTCCCTCCTTCGCCCTCATCATCTGCATAGAGTATTATGCAAACATATTTGATGGTGACCATAATGGTGAGAGCCCAGATGATGAACGACACGGCTCCGAGGATATCGTCATAGCTTGGTTCACTGCTGAAAGTAGACGAGAAGACATACAAAGGGCTTGTCCCAATGTCGCCATAGATGACGCCGAGTGATTGATATGCGAGCCTATAAATGATGAAACCTCGAGTAAGTATTGAAGAATACCTCTCTGAGTGACCTCTGGAATCGAGCCACTTACAACGCCAGTGTCCAGCCTTTGAATACCTTTTTGACAATCAGTACATTCAATGGTGACGGAAGAAAGGTAATTCCTGCTTACCTGCTTGCTGTGGAAGTCCCTTTCCTCCATCTCAGGCACGTCCGAGATGGATGCGACCTCCAAGTCCATTTCCTTGGGCTCTATAGTCTTGTTTCCACCTATAGGAGCCCTGCATGGGGGCACACGAGAAGAAAAGACACCTCCTGCACTAGACGAGGGTTGGATATTCATCATGCGATCCTCTGACGATTCATCATCGGTACTAGTCGACATAACTGGTCTTTCTATAGTCCGATATTCTGATTATGATAACTCAACTCCTGGTAAGGTAGGTGTAAGTTAGACGGGGGCAACACAGTTTTTATGATCTACCAGTTGCTCTTTTGATATTCACGACTGTGATTTCTTATCTTTGTTCCAATCCTATAGCAATGCATGTCAAAATACACGTGGAAATGAGCCAATTAGATGGTGAAATTTGACTAAAATGTGCGATTAAGGAGACACGAATAAGAGGTTCCAAGAAAAATGCCGCATATACAATGCCTGTCCTTGAGAGCGACTAAACCAGATTAAACCACACTCATTACAGAAACAAATTTAACTATGCCGACAGATAAGAAGTATGGTGCACTTTCATAGGGTGTGAACTTGCATGGAATCGGGGGTTTTACATTTAGGAATATATGAGGCAATTATTTCCTCCACAACCATGGGGAAAGAATGAGGCTGACACTACGACTCTTCACTCAAAAGTTATGGAGTGAGCATAGTCATTTCTATTATTAAGATGCTATCTATGATACGAATCGATTTGAGTCTTACTCAAATGCTTTAACAATCGACAGCTGCTACGCTGATTAAGGAATACACTACACAATGTACCGAGGTCAACATTAGGCCTCGCCAAAACGAAACCTATTACTACTACTCGTGGGACTTTCGCCGAGCAGCAATCAAATAGCACTGTGCATTTGCCTTGTAGCCAAGGCCAATCAGAATCAATCATATGTATACATATACTTGGGTAGCCTTAATATTCTCAAAGTTCATCTGGGTTATCTCTCTGCAGTTATCTTCATCAAGGCTCGATGAAAATAAGCTTGCTTAACAGCTCCGCAGATGGGCTTATTGCTCCGTTACGCTCAGTTCATATTGAAAACAGAACTTCAATTGGAAAAAGACAGCCTCGTAATTGACAATGAGGGTGGTAATCCGGGTTTTCGATGTTGAGTGACGTAAAGAACCACGAAGAGACCGCTTATACATCGCCACAACCGGACCTTGGAAATGTTGGCTATATCCCTTGCCTCCTCACAAAGTTGAACTCGGAATAGAATCCTCAGGTATTGGAAAATCATGAATGAGCTTGGTAAGGACAAGAACAAAGAGACAACTTCGAGTCCTCTCCCTAAAGATCTTCAAGATCTTGTGGACAAGGAAGAAGCGGATAGAGAAATTCGTGCAGACTACGAAAATTCATGGACCGAAACGTGAGTAAACAGATTTCTTTGAATATTGGAATCCTTGGATATCTGACGAGTTCACCAGATCTTCGGACCAAGCCTTTTCCAAACGACTGGATAACGTTTCCACCGAATCTGGGAACACAATAGAAAAGCTGAAAGATCAACTGCTGAATAGAGGAACGGAAAAGGAGAAGCAATGAACTATTGATATTTGTTGAGGCTGCAGCTCAGGAACAAACCCATAAATCTGAAATGATCCCTTGTTTGAAATGCAACACAAATGTAGTAGACAGTATACTAGGAACTTACCTTTCCCTGTCTTAACTAATGAATGATTAGAAGGTGCCACCTGCTATGTGTCATATTAGTTCATCTTGCCACTTAGGTAGCACATTGAGCCAAATTCTTCCTGCTAGAGTTTTGTCCCGCGTTGGTGTAAGTGCAGAAAAGGAAGCGGAAGGCGTTGGAGTGTCCAGCGCAGGACAAATATTGTCGAGACCATCAAAATGTTTTCATCGTCATCATGTGAAGATGTCAAAGAGCTGTTTAGTGGAATATGCAACCGTTAAAGTGCAGACAAAGATCTGGATTGTCCTGCTTTGGTTGCCTTAGTGGGTCGGACGATCAATGGCGAAACCTCGTACATCATTGTGGTGAGCAACGACGGCCGAAATCCAAATATCCAGCCATAAATCCGCACACGGGAAGAGATCTTCGTTCACTCTGGACAGGCTACTTCGGGAAACTAAGTTTTCCCATCCCGAAGAGCCATCATTGAAGATTAAACCATCGGAGAGCTCTTCTCCATCAGATCTGGTTGCGATGAATCAACACTCGGTTTTTGGAGGCACCTGAGTGAGATCCGCTCTAGGAATTGTCCTTGGAAAGGAAGAACATTCATCATCCGCGACCCTCGCACAAGCCTTGTCATTGGGCTTCAAGGGGGTATTTTAGGCCTTCTGCCTGAACACGGTGGGCATGGGCATGGTATTTATTGGTCGTGCATCGAATCGATTGAGATATTGCTGGGATTTCAAAACGTGCTTTCTGGCACCTTTATCGGGCATAATAACAAGGGTGAATTCGTTGCAGTGAGCACGAGGCACCGGGTCTATGAATCGTTTTGTGTGCGAGCACATCCAGATGGCGCCTATATTCTTCTCGTGAAACAATACAGTGGCAGTGGGTTCTTGCCGATGCAGAAAAACGGTCTAAATTATGATTGATATCAAGCTTGCATCTCGAGTTCTACACCCATCTATTGGACGATCATGAACATGTGATATTTCATAGATGTATTTCTGAACGAATTGGAATGACTTTTGCCGTTTGCTGCAAATCCCCCGATTACCACTTGAATATGAATATCCCCGGCAAAGGAAATAACGAAAAGAATGAACAAGTCAAGCAACAACGCATGAGGAACAGGAATATGAGGGTATTAGATGAAATGAGACAGGAGACAAACAAAATCTATGCGTAAGTAAGAGGCTCTTCTGGAGGCATCAATAGAGCAGTTGATATAGATAAAAAAAACAAATAGAACTGGGAGAAGAAGGAGCCAGTCCACTTCAGACAATGCGAGAGAGATAAGATGCGCCGTAAAAAAAAATGCAACCACAAATCATAACGGGAGCCCTATTCAAAGGGTTTGATAATCGAGTAAATCGTATGAAGTCATTGAGCCGTGCCGGAGGCATGGTTGGATGTAGATGGAAGAGCGTTTGTTGCGATAATGCTATCTGGCACTGTGAACATGGCCGCCCTTGAGACCACACGGGCCGCACCGCGACCGCGTGGGAGTCGGACATTGTCAGCGACAAGAGTCAAGGGCTGGTTCGCACGAATGGCCTGCACCACCTCGAAACCGCCGCGCTCCCCAGCCTCCTTCAGCCATTGTTCCCAGTCTTCGTCGAGCGGCACATCAGTGCCTTGGTCGCGGGCGGCCAGCGCAGCATGGATGCGGGTGTTGAGGGCTACACCACAGCTTTCTATTTCCTCGTCGCTGAGTTCCTCTTCGATTTCATGCTCTTCCGAGGCAGACCGGTAGCTGGAGGCACGGGAATCGATCGCACGGACTGTATCGTTACTCTGGGTTTCGATGATCTGGTCATATTCCTCTTCTGTCCCGCAGAAGTCGCAGTCGTTGAAGTGGATCTCGATTGAAGGGGTGGGTTGGGGGGATGACGGTCGGACTGAGTGGGCTGTAGTGTCCCGCACGATAACCCCTTCTTCTGCCTCGTATCGCTGACGTGCGGACTTGGTCCCTTCCCACCGACAGAGACTGGAGATCTCCTCCTCTGTCAAACCGAGTTCGTCAAATGTGCGGAATAGCCTTCGGTGCCATGGGAAACGACCCAGTCGCATGCGATGCGGTCCATATGAGTAGTCCAGCCCCGGGTATTGTGCTTCGATGCAGTCTAGCGAGCCGTAGAAAAGGGATGTTTCGACTCGCACTTCTGGGACGAGATTTCGTGTAATGTGAGCACCAAACGATCCTGGGTCGTTTGTGCGAGGTCGTGGGAACGTCGCGTTATACACGATCTGACCGACGGATGGTTTACGCATAGTGAAGGTTCCCCGGCGGATGTGGAAGAGGTAAAAGAGCAAATGAAGGAGGCAAGGTTGTCCCAGACTCCTTGGAATGTGATGATTCAGGATACCCAGCCCTGGAGGATCCCCCCTTGCCCTTTGTCAAATTCCCGGATGGAGATGTTTTGGATGGGGGATTGGCGGGGAGTTCACGCTAAAGAGGGCGCATACAGTAAATTCTCATATACAAAGTAACGGAAATGTGTCTTCAACCTGGATTCTCGTAGTCCAGGTCAATAGATTATGATAATATTAGAGAAGAAAATCCCGATCAGGTGCCCAGCTGACGTTTCGGCTCTTTGACCCTTGGGGAATTGAAGGTCTCACAGGCGTTCCATTGAAATTTAGAAAAGAAAATAGAATGCAACAAGAGAAACAAGAGAGAAAAAAGAAAGAGGATAGTCTAGGAAGACAGGAGACTTCCAAGGCTTTATACGTAAAAGCAAGTGTGCGTTGGCAATGGCCACGATGCACTGGTTGCCCAGGTGGACTTCGATCGCATATCGCATATTCAAGAATTCATCGAATCATAATGCTTTAAATTAAAGAAAGATTTCGATATCTTAATTGGCCTGGAGTTTTCATATCACGTGAAAACATGGAGATCCAGCAATTCAACATCTTCACCTAGGCAACCTTGGACATGCATCTCTTGTAGACGTTGCCATGTCGACCTTTGATGGCATTGTAGAAGGTGAGACCGGCACTTCCCACGTCACTTCCACGCTAATCCTGACAGAGTTTCCCGAGATTCGCAGTGAGCCTCACCTAGATCAGCCAAACTTGCTGGTGGCTAAGAAAAGCAGTTGACTACTTTCGGAAATGTCCCGAGCGGCCTGCGCCACTGGCTTGCTTCCTCAGCCATGTGCATAGCGATCATTTACAGGGTCTCGAATCATTTCGGGCACCCTTTATCTACTGCTCGCCTGCCACGCGAGAGGTATGCTCGTGTTCATATTAAACATCCATTAAACTGACCAGTGCAGCTGCTCCTCCGGATTGAAAAATATCCCCATCGGATGAACTTTAATAAAGGCATCTTGGAGTCCCGCCGACTACACTATAAGCATCTTGCCAAGCTTCTGGTTAGTGGGTTGTAAACTTTGACTAGAGTTGAGAACTCATCCCGCACAGCGCCCAATTCCACTGAATACCCCAACGGAAATTGAGCTCACTCCTCGACGTCGTATCAAGGTGACTTTGCTCGATGCCAACCATTGCACCGGGGCTGTGATGTTTCTAATTGAAGGGGACGGAAAGGCAATCATCTACACAGGTGACATTCGAGGTGAGTAATAATTTTTCTGAATTGAATTGCTGGCTGAGTACCTTTAGCCGAGACATGGTGGGTGAGCAGCTTGGTCCGTCACCCGGTCTTGATACCATATACTCTGGGCCAGAAACGACTGGATAAGCTGTATCTGGACTCTACCTTTGCAAACAAGACAAATCCATTCCGCGAGTTCCCTTCCAAGGCTGAGGGACTGTCTGAGCTGCTGCAGAAAGTCCAGGCTTATCCTGATGATACAGTCTTTTACTTCCGTGCGTGGACATTCGGCTATGAGGATGTCTGGATAGCGCTCTCAGCTGCGCTGAACACAAAGGTGATGAATATCACGCAGCCCAAATATAACACTGGCTAACATAGCGTAGATCCATGTGGATCGTTACCAGATGGGGCTTTATCAGTCCCTGATCCAGACTCCAGGAAATAAGGGACTTAGCGAAGCTCCTGCCCTCTGTGGCTTTGAGCTGGGAAACAAAGCTGTAGCAGGCTGCCTAAGCAACAACGAATCAAGCCGAATTCACAGCTGTGAACCTGGAGTCTCATGCTCGGTAGCTCGCAGCACTAAAGCGGTCTACATTGTGCCTATTGTGAATCGCACAACCGGTGGTGCTGAAATCCCCGAGGTCGGCGCGGGCGGTGGTATTGGGGATCTGTACCAAACACACGAACTCGAGCTGCCAGACGAATCTGCACTAGCTGAGTTGGAGAAGCTGTGTCTCAAACACGTTCAGGACAAACAGGCCCTTTCTCAGATGCGAGCTGCCCTTTTGGGCGCGTTCCGGTCGAGAAAGAAAGCACTCTCGCTTGATACATACGGCGTAAAGGAAGAGGGCGAAATTTCATTAAAGAGTCTGGTGACCGCTCTAAGCCATGGTCCATCTGATACCGCTAGCCGATCTCAGCCAGATTTACCTAACACGATAGTAAGTGGCACTACTGTTTCTTTCGACAATCCCCTCTAATGACATTATAGCGATTCCCGTATTCACGACACTCTTCCTACTCCGAACTATGTGAGCTCGTAGCTGCTTTCCAGCCCAAGGACATTTATCCATGCACCGTGGATCCAACAACCTGGAACGAAGACGTCTCTATTAGACGTTTGTTCGGCCACCTCTGTTCAGGAAACATTTTTTCACACGACACTCACATGCGACAATCTCTAACTAATGACGTTGACGACGAGGGATATTTGCGCGCAAGAAAAAGAGCCCGATACGACATAGACCTCTCCACACAGTCCACACAAGAAACCAGTAGTGGCATTGAAGATTTTAGTCTTGATACCGCCGGTGCAAGCCAGCATTATGATCAGAAGCACTACCCTCTACATAATTTGAGTCAACCTGAAGAGACAGCCAGAGCTAAGCGCAACGAAATCCGTCAAGCACACCGTTATCTTCAAGAGCATCCAGAACCTGGGCTCTTTCAAGTCAATCCTCTCCCGTCTACATGGCCGGCAGAAAAAGAAGACAGCTTCGACCCGGAAAGTGACGAGGCAAGTGAAGCAGAGGATACGCTCATGCCTGACCAGCCAGATTCAGAACCTTCGGCTACAGGACTCCGACTCAGGTCCGAACCAAGCACATCTACCAAAATCATTGATTTAACTGGCGATGGTACTACATCTCCTCACCCAATCACCCAACAGACAGAAAGTCAACACACAGACGTACTTTCTCTCTCCGTCTCCGAGTCGGCATTTGACTCTCCAGACCAAAATTCTGTTGAAAATGGACTACGGGACCCGCCGCGAGGAGAAGAAATAGTGAATCGCTCACGCCGTGCGCGTGTTGCCGCTTATCTAGCTGCGCGCGAAGGTACTTTCTCTGCGTGGACCGATGTGTCGCTTGTTTCGGCGGGTGATAACCATACGGAGGAGGAGATTGAGCTATAGGCTTGACCTTTTATTCCTATTGGTAGACGGATAGATCTGTTCCTCCTTTTTTCTTCTATCTCGTTCTTAGATTTTACTATGTATTATACCCCTTTTCGCTATCTTTTTATTGATCTTGTCATCTGGTATTTTGCCGATGGAACTATGTCTGGACACCTGGAAGCTGGACCCATCGTGGGTTTTTGTTCCTTTCATAGGAATGGTTCACTGTCTTGCGGTCTCAGAAAAAGACTTGCGTGCTTCAAATCACCATATCACTCACTTTGACCTGCTGTACAGTTAGCAAGGTTGATCTACCATTGAGCCCTAATTGGCCGAAACTGGACTACATCGTCGAGACAAACCCTAAAAACCTGGCTAGTAAAGCACCGATATCAACAATCTCTTTGGTGATTGACATTACCGCTTCCATTTACCTAGTATATAGAAAACAAAGAACTAAACAATGGCCTTGCTAGCCTAAAATTATAACAAAGTCCCAGTGAGTTTACCTTGTATACCAACTTCTTTCAAGATCATGACCACTTGCAGATATCGAGAACAGAGAACAAAGATTCCCAACAATAACCCACATGTCTTTCATTCCTTTCTTCTGAATGAAGGCTTTGTCTCCAGTCTGCTCAACGTAGCGAGATACAAATGCATAAATAGCCCCCGACGTCTTGACCATTTCGAGGTACCATCCACCTCAGGTTCTCACAGTCCATCAGTACGACCAGTTTCACAGATCCGCGGCTACACCACTAACCTAACCAGGTAAGCGATACATCCCATTCATCTGCTCACATCTCTCTCTCCATTTCATATCAGACAACCAGAGCACCACCACTCTTCCCACCATCCACGATGCAGTCCATCGCCACCCGGGTCTTCCGCGGTACTCGCGCTATCCTCAAGTACAAGAAGGAGCGTGATATCCTTCTGGACAACATCCGCCGCTACATTGTCACTTTGCGCTCGGTCCCCGAGGGCAACTACCTCATCGAGATCGCCCTCAACATCCAGTCCCTGAAGGTTCAGGCAGACAAGGTGAAATGGGCTTCCCAGGCCCTTGTTACCAACGCCACAGCCATGAAATTTGTCACTTCCAGGGGCGCCCGCTACTACCTCTACATCATCCCCCAGGCCTGCGATGAGGTCGGCCGTTGCACCCGCCACCTCTCCGACGTACTCCTGGGCCACATCCACCAGCCTGTTGTGAACTGCGAGCATGATATCGCGATTGAGCTGGCGGATGCACTTGCTGACCTGGAATCTCATCTAGATTAGATTCTTCGATACTATCGAGAGTCACGGACTCACAGCAGCTGTTGCTGGTAACTGCTCAGTTCCAGCATCCAGGTACGTTCCAACATTCATTCACATCAACATCTTCCATTTCCATCTAGATCTATAGCACCCACACAATCCCGCATCTCAGCCTTCCGCAAGGCGCGAGACGACCTAGTAACCCTCCTAGAGTCACAATCAATCTTTCTACGCGACGACATCGACAGTCACGTCTACATAATCCCAAGCCTCCGTCTACAGATAATCCAGCATCTCTACATCGTCTCCTCTCTCCTGATGAAGATGGCCGTCCAAAGCCGTGATCACCCCTACGTCCTAATCCACTAGAGCGACTTCTACGAAGCCGATGTACCTATGCACTGGCGTCCCTGTTGCTGTAGCGAGATTGATTGATCAGAATGTGGCTAACTTGTGTTTTTAGATAGATCTGTAATTGGAATATATGGATTATAAATTACTCCTATTTTTTATTATCTTGGTTTATTTATCGTATATCACATTTATCCGACTTGCCGTCTGTTCTGCGACATTATGGCTACCCGAACCGGCCCTGTATCGACTTTTAAACGCGAGCGCGCGACCTTTCTCTTCGAGTTGCGAATGCAAGCGAGGCTGTTAAGGGCAAACCCACAGGCTGGTGATGAGGTTGCTGAGAATATGCGTGAGCTTGTTGGTGGTGTTCATCGCCTCAAGCATGCCTCTATGGCTATGGCTGTTGATGCCCGAGGCAATGCTTATGTCCTAGCGAAACCGTACGGGTTTTATAGCTATAACGTGCCGCTTATGTGCAATAACATTGTTGCTTGTCTGTTGCACTGGGCGGATATTCTTGTTTATACTGATGGGCGGAGGACGGATGGGATTGTTGTTGATTCTATTGAGGGGGTTTTAGCTTGTTTATGGTTTTGAAAGAATGATAACTAGTTTGTTCATTGACTACACGTGTGCCATTGTAAAGGATAGTAGAGCGTATATTCAAAGCAAAAGAAAAAGAAAATGATCGCTTTCGTTGGATTATCAAAATCCTATACGCAAAAACCAAAACTCGAGCTCGCTATCGAGCAATGAGGTATATAGGAACTGTAAAAACCAAAACAAAAGCTAAGGGTATGAAAGACAGAAACCTAAAATCAAAAGACATAATACGCTTGCGTCAAAGGCAACTCGGAAGCCGGCTCTGCATCACAAAGCATCCCATCCGCCTCAACAGTATAACTCTCTGGATCGACCTTCATCTTCGGCATAGCATCATTAAACTTCATATCCTTCTTCCCAACAGAGCGACAATTCTTTACGGCCTCAATGCGCTTCTTCAATCCATACTTCTGCACAATGCCCGCATCAATAGAAGCCTGCGAAACAAACATAATAGACGTAGCCGGGACGCGGGCAGCAAACATTGGCCGCATAATCATCGGCTCGACAGTCGGGATCGACGCATTCGGATCTCCAACTTCTGCAGTAACGATCATACCGCTCTTTATAACAGATACAGGTTTCGTGCCGAACGATGCTGCCTTCCACATCACCAAATCGGCGACCTTGCCGACCTCCACAGATCCGATTAAGTGTGCCATTCCCTGCGCGAGAGCGGGGTTGATCGTGTACTTGCTGATGTATCGCTTCACGCGGAAGTTGTCTGCGCCGGTGTCAGCGTCGCTGCCGAGAGGTCCGCGCTGGGTCTTGTTCTTGTGGGCTGTGTGCCAGGTGCGGAGGACTACTTCGCCGCATCGGCCCATTGCTTGAGAGTCGGAGGACATCATGCTGATGGCGCCGAGGTCGTGGAGGACGTCTTCGGCGGCGATGGTTTCGGCGCGGATGCGGCTTTCCGCGAAGGCGACGTCCTCGGGAATGTTCTTTGATAGGTGGTGGCAGACCATTAGCATGTCGAGGTGCTCGTCCAGGGTGTTGAGAGTGAAGGGGCGGGTTGGGTTTGTGCTGCTAGGGAGGACGTTGGGGTGTTCGACCACGGAGATGATGTCTGGGGCGTGACCGCCGCCTGCGCCTTCGGTATGGTAGGTATGGATTGTACGGCCTTTAAAGGCTTCAATGGTCTGCTCAACGAAGCCAGATTCGTTCAGAGTGTCCGTGTGGATCATACACTGCACATCGTATTCGTCGCAGACTTCCAAACAGTTGTCAATCGCTGCTGGGGTGGAGCCCCAGTCTTCGTGAAGCTTGAGGCCTGCTGCTCCTGCTAGGACCTGCTCTCTGAGACTCTTCTTTCCGGAGTCGTTGCCCTTACCTGTGATACCTAAGTTGATCGGTAGGCTGTCGCATGCTTGCATCATCTGGCGCAGGAGGTTCGGTGACGGTGTACATGTCGTCGCGTTTGATCCAGTGGTGGGACCGGTGCCACCGCCGAGGAAAGTGGTAATTCCCGAGGCTAGAGCTTCCTCTGCCTGCTGCGGGCAGATCAAGTGGATGTGCGTGTCAATACCACCAGCGGTAATAATCTTGTTCTCTCCAGCAATGACATCCGTACACGAGCCCACCACCAGATCAGGATGCACACCGTCCATGACATCCGGGTTTCCGGCCTTGCCAATACCAGCAATCAGTCCATCCTTGATGCCAATATCAGCCTTGTAGATACCAGTCCAATCGATAATCAACGCATTCGTGATAACAGTGTCAAGACACTCGGACTCAGACAGACCAGACGCCTGTCCCATTCCCTCGCGCAGCGTCTTGCCTCCACCGAAAGAGCATTCATCCCCGTAGGTTGTCATGTCCTTCTCAACCTTAATCCACAAATCCGTCAACCCAAGCCGCACCAGATCTCCCGTCGTAGGACCAAACATGCGCGAGTACGCCTCGCGCTCCATCGAGAACCCAGCAACAAGCGCACTATCCGCTTGTGGCTCCGGTACGTGCGCAAATCCAGCTGTCTGCAGCTTGGCCATGATCTCATCGGCACGACTCATATCCACCGGCCCATTCGCCAGCCAGTTTCCACCGCGGATGACGCGATTTCCACCGATCTCGACAAGCGTGACCGTCTTTGTATCACCGGGCTCGAATCTAATCGAGGTGCCCGCAGGGATATCCAGTCGGAAACCGTACGACTGCATGCGATCGAAGTGCAGCTGGGGGTTCGTCTCAATGAAATGGTAATGCGATCCAACCTATCAATCAACATTGTAATTAGCATCATTCGCTTCCGGTTCCCTGGTTTCCTATACACACCTGAATTGGCCGATCTCCTTTACTCATAACCTTAAGCTTAATACGCCTCTTCCCAGGACTTAGCTCCACGCGCGCTTGCTTAACAGTAATAACTGCGCCAGGCATTTTCTCGGGGGTGAAATCCTCTGGGTCCGGGTCTGGGAATGCCTCGGGCGCGGGGACAGGCAGGAAGCTTCCATACAGGGCGCGCTCGAGATCGCCTTCGTCGCTACTGATCGGGTGGTGCACGGTTACCAAGTAAGTACCGGAGACGAAAGTCCCCTCGACCTGGAGCTCAACGAGGGTTGCGAGTACGGAGGGGAGGACATGGCGGCGGCCGAGCATTGTTTTGCCGATGGACATTAGATCGGCGACGGAGTAGTGGCCATCGCGGATTAACTGGGGGGGTTGGGTGTTAGTTTGCGCTATATCATATGTCCTAATACCATTGTATGGAATTGGGTTATCGTACCTCGTGCAGCACTGAGGCTATCAGGGCCTGTTAGGGGATATGTTAGTGGTCGTGTCCTACAACCCCACGATATAAACATACCACAGCTTCTGCATGGTTGAGCCGCACTCCACGTGCTAGACGACGCTGTGCCAAGAATCCTAGTTGGGCGATGGTGAGCTTGTCAAGCTGCAGGTGTGTTAGTTGTGTTTGTTTTCTCGGGGGTGTGACTTGCCTCCTTCGGAATAAGCTGCATGGTTCAGGTGGGACCATGAACCTGGCAGTGCTTGGCGTGCAGGACAATTGGCTTTGGAGGTAGGCTTTGGGGGGACAATTTTGAAGCAACTTTAAAGAGAATATATAAGAGAAGAAGATATGAGAGAGGTCAAAAGAAAGTAAAAAGAGGAATGTGGGGGATGTCCATTTTCAAACTTACTTGGAATGCTGATAAGACCATTCTCCATGATAAGTGCCGCGAAGGCCGATTGGGCCGGGGCACGGAGGTCGGCGGCATTAGTCAAGGCTTTGATTGATATTGAATTAGTGTGATTTAGTTGGATTTAGTTGGATTTAGTCAGTTAGATTAGTTAGATTAGTTAGATTTAATTGGTTTTAATTTGGTTTATCTAGTCTTATGCGGCTTTATAGATGCTGTATAGCGGGAAAGGACCCGCACCTTTTTCTTGGAACTATACTGGTATATAGACTATTTCGCCCCTACGAATACTAAGAGAAATATCTAGAAACCACATCCCATCAGTCCATTTCACTAATTCAAGCTAAGTAGGTACAGTTTTTCCCCAAACGCCGCTGAAAAAAAACCGGGGGGTTACACATCCAGTCCACCAAACCGAGACCATCTCATCTGACCCTAGAGTCAAGCAAATCAGAAATCAGAACGCAGAAAGCAATTATTCATTTACACCTCGCTCTTGCGCTTCTTGCTCTTGCGCTTGTTATCAGCAGGTGTCTTGGCAGCAGGTGTAGAAACTACCGGCTCAGCAGCCTTGCGGCTGCTCCGCTTAACAGGCGACTTGGCAGGAGTCTCAGCCTCCTTGGCCTTGGGGTCGCTGCGGCGACGCTTGGTGGTGCTGCGCGGGGGAGTCTTTTCCTTCGCAGGAGAGGGGGACTGCGACTCGTCGGATGAGTCGGTGGTCTCCTCGCCGGACTCGGGCTCAGCCTCAGCCTCAGCCTCGGCTTCGGCCTCGGGCTCGACCTCGGCACCGGCAAAGTCCTGCTGCAGTTGGCTGGCGGCGGGATCGTGCTCCTCGTCAGCCTTACCACCGGCCTTGTAGGCTGCCATATCGCGCTTGTACTGGTCGTAGTTGGCGGCATACATCTTCTTCCAGACCTATGCGGATGCGTTAGCTTTGCATACTTTCAGGTATTATTCAAGCTAGGTCTGCTTCGCTGCCAATACATACCTCCTTCTGGGTATCTTCCATGCTCTGCCAGCGGCGAGTGCCCTCGTCGGCGACATCCTTGGGACGCGCATCATTGCCAAGGTCATCGGCGATCTTGCTGCGGTTGTGCTGCATATACAGGAAGTAGGGGGTCAAGGCACGCTTGGGCGCATTGGGGTCAACGGGTGCGCGCTTGCGCTTCTTGGGGCCACCAGCCTCAGACTTGGCGCCGGGGCTGCCGGCGCGGAAGGGGATGTCCGGGCCCATGAATCCAGAGGGACCGAGGGGGAGCTCAATGTTGGCATCACGTCCTTCGGTGATGTTGCTCACATGCTGGACGTAGGCCTTGCCCAAATCGGCGATGTAAGACTGCACCTCCATCAGGCGCATGACGATCTATGAGGCATTGTTAGCGGTGTTATGCCAGGGGCAATTGCGCATGATCATTGGGTATGTGTTTGCATATAGGGTTAGGGAAGGAAGAGGGGTAAGCAGGCGGCGCGTAAGTTCGCAAGTGTGCGATGTCAAGACGGTCCTCGGGTCTGAAGGGAGAAAGGGTAGGGATTGTTCTTTTTTTTTTGCACATAAAGCTTGCCAACATAATACTGAAGTATGATATGGTACAGGTTAAGCTTCAACAGCTTAATGGGTAGCTTTAAGATCTTCGAACCTGACGCGTAGTAGGCGCGCAGTGGGGATGCGCACAAGAAAACAGAAAAAAAAGAACCGAAACAATGAAAATGGCAAAATTCAAAAGGGTAAAACATGAATGGGGGGAAATACCAAGTCACCAGCCCGTCTGAGCTCTTCTTTGTTGACCTGAACGGTCGTGTCATCGTGGTTGGAAGCCATTGTTTTGAAGCCGAGAGAGTGGTTGGGGTGAAGAAAAGAGAAAATTTCGGGGGGGGAAGGGGGGAAGGGGACGGGGGGTGGAAGGGCCGAGTACCCACTAAATAGCTTAGGCGCCCGAAGGTGCCCGGACATGTCGAACTCTGCTTTAGGCTTAGGCTCTGGACTGTCATGAGACACCCCCGGAACCCCAGGCAACACAGTACTGCTTGGATATTGACATTCTATTCAGCTATAAAGATGTTAGGTTTTATCAGACTATCATATCCTTTTATAATAGCAATAATGTAGGGGTTTCTAAATTATTAATAAACACGTAACTTCTTAGGCTTAGAAGCCCCCGAGGGGTAATCCATGAGCCACCTGGGCACTTGTATACTTGCCAAACAATCACACACATATTTCACGGTTTTATTCCTTTATATAAATTCCCACATATCTTTTTTGGTATATAATACATCTATTCCAACGACTTACAGTTTATCCTGCTCTTTTCCCTCTTCTTGGAGGGGCTGGGGCATGTTCAGGTGTGGGCTATGGTCCCCCGCCGAAATCTCAACTTCAGGGTCGCCCAAGCCCTGTAGAGGGGCTCAGCTGCGCACGAGGTGTCAAGCTTGTAGCACAAACGCCTGTTCTGACTTCCTAATTCAATTCCTTTTAGAACTGCCTTTTCAACTCTTTTCTCTCCGCAATGGCTTTGGAGTGTGCTTTTATGGTCTAGTACCTGTTCTTGTTGCTTAACTACCAGTAGGTACTTTATGTGTACATATATGTAGGCTTTGGGGCAGCTTATACTCTTATGGGCAATTGTTTTGATATATTTTCGATTTGGATTCTTTTGGTCTACCGCTCATTGCTACATAAATAGTGATTCAAGACTATTTTCGTTGGCCACGTCATAGTCTACGAAAGTATTCCCAGTGAGTGTGCTTATATATATCCACCTCTCCCTCTTCATTACAGTCGCCGCTGGTTTTTTTTATATCTTTTTTTTTATGTTGATTTTCATTGCACATGCTGCCAGAGAAAAATACAACTATCGATACACCTGATTGTATATTTGGAGACAAAATATATCTATTCCATCAATGACGTTCCAAGCTAGCCAGAGATGTGGTAACACGCTGAAAACAAGATGCACCAATATACATGGCTGTTTTGCCGCATATCCAACTAGCTAACTATTCTAGTCTTATATTCTACAATAATCTAGGACTTGTAATCTAGAACTTGAACACCTGCTCCTTGCTGTAACCCAGATCCTTCAAGATACCAGTAAGCTCACCCTGGTCCTTGGGGCTGACCTTAGCGCCGGAGATAGCCTTGTACATGGGGGGAGGGCCACAGACGAAGAGCTTAATGTTCTCCTCCTTGGGCTCTGGCAGGACAGTCTTCAGCAGCTCCTTGGAGATGAAGCCCTTGCCACCAGTCCACTCGGCAGGGGGCTTGTCCAGGACGTAGAAGGCACGGAAGCGCTGGGGGTAGGTGTTCTCCAAATCCTGCAGCTCCTTCTTCAGGAGGATATCCTCTTCAGTGACGTTGCCGAAAACTAGAGTAACCTTGGTCTTGTCCTCGGGGTTCTTGAAGATCTCACGGGCGAGCTGGTACATCGGGGTGATGCCAGTACCACCAGCGATCAAGCAGATGTGGTTGTGCTTGTTAGCCTCCCAGGGGTACTTGACAATAGGTCCCTTGAACGACAGACGCTGGTCGATGTTCATGGAGTGGATGTGCTCAGACATGGGGCCGCCGGGGTAGGCCTTGACGACGAGCTCAAGGTAGCCGGGGATATCTGCCACGTGTTAGTAAAGGAAAAGTAAGTTGCGGTCTATGTTGATCTTACCCTCATCGCTGGTGGGGGTGTAGGGACGGAGGACGTTCTTCTCGGCACCCTCGGGCTTGAAACGGGTCAACAGAGCAGCTATATGCTTGTTAGTGATCAATTGGCAATCATTCTTGGAGCCAGACTACTCACAGGCAACAGGAAGGCCAGAGACAGCTTCCTTATCATCGTACTCGAAGCGAAGACGCTTGGTGTTGGGGCTCAGGATCTCAATGTTAGCCAGCTTGAGGTCAACCCAGTCCTGGCCGTTGAAGACCTTGGGACGCTCCTTGGGCTCAGCAACCGCGTCGGTGCTGTAGCGATAGACACCAGCAGCGAGACCGGCAAGGCCCACACCAACGTAGATGGGGGCCAAGTTGGACTTCTTAGGAGTGGCCTCCGCAGAGTACTTGCGGAAGCTCTGATTGAATGGTTTTTAGTATTGTTCGGGATTGAATCGAGCTATTTCAACTAACCTGCTTCAAAGGCTGCGCACATCGGAAAGATTGACGAGCAAACATGATTGCAATAGATTGGGGAGGAGTGGGGGAAAAGTGAAGGGAACTTGAGAAGGCCCGGGGAAGAAATCGGATTACATATGCGAAAGCGGACAGCTCCCTGCCGACCTGATTTCGAATGACGCAATAAGAGGTTCCTGTATTGCGACCTGCACAGATCAATGCTTTCGGTACTGTTCGAGTAAAGATTGTCAATATATTCTAAACAACCCTTGCTGACAGGCCAAAACCAAAACTTTCCACTAAAATGGTACCTGAAGATAGCCGGCTGGTGCCTGATCTACAAGGCACCTATGTTCGGTCTCCAGCGGCTTAAGAAAGTCCGATATCTGATATTTACTCCGTCGGCATTTGAATTGTAATGTACAGGCCCGAGTGATGATAGGATAGACTAGTTTCTGATGATATTATTGATAGTCATGGATATATATGCATGTAGTTCGTTATGAATTGTATGACCAGCAATAAGCCATTTGCAACGACTATCCTATGTACATCCATGCCGATATGATCACGTTGTGAATGGAGGGATTTGCAAGAAACCCAAAGGAAAACAGCCCGTTTTCCAGGTTGATATCCATAGGCATCTACCAGATGGGCCTACTCTCCATGTATGCTCATTGTCCTACTAGAACTCGAATAATTCAAGAAACCCGATGATTTTTTCAAAATAACCTAGAGATGCCACCATACGGGACTAGAGACATCCAACCATCTCGCCCGTGAACGGGGCGGTGGTTTCCACGCGACCATCTTTCATGCATGCCATGGCCATAAATAGTCATTCATCCACACACTCCAAACCCAACACCCAGAACGTCACATTTAAGCAAAGGTAGAGGGGCGGGAGTAGGCGAAGACCTTCTTTCCGACCTTGCCGCCGGCGCGGTGGGGCAGAGGGAACTTGAGGTCCTTCTGGAGGAGCTGCTTGATGTAGGGGCGGCGAATGCTGTCGTTGTTCTCGATCTCAACAACCTTGAGGATCTGCAGGAAAATAATTAGAATGGGTTCAATGTCGCAAGGTTCGAGTGGCGTAACATACGTGGATGGAACCGAAACGGGAGCGGTGACGGGCAGCCATGTCCTGGTAGAGGGCCTCAACAGCATCGGTGCGGGACATCTCACGGAACTCCTTGTACATGTTGTGGGTACCGGAGCGCGAGTCGTAGCGGATCCAGATACCGAAGTTCTTGACCTTGAGGGGACGCTTCTCCTCGATCTAGACAGAAAACGATGAGCACCATTCCTTATCCTTGAATATTCAATCCCAACATACCACGTTCAGGGAAACGATCTCGCCGTTAGCCTTCTTGAGCTTACGGAGCTGGGACATGAAGTACCAGAAACGCGACTTGGCCACAACGGTGTTGGGCGCAAAGATGCGCATGCGGTACAACTTGGGCGTGGGGTTCGCCTCGTTGGGCATGTGACGCCCGATGACCTGGTACTCAGTAAGACGCCCTGGGAATCCGTCAGCCATTGTTCGTATTGGATATTCCAATTGCCCAGATGTTCAGTTCGAGAGATAAAACGGTGCGCGATTCAAGTTGGCGAGAATTCGAGAAGACCAGGGGTGATTTGTGGATATTGAAAAATTCGAGATTCAACCATGCGTAGCCCTGACAACGTTGTGCGTTCCTTCATAAACAATTCCTAACGATGTCGGTTTGCCATTGCGTCCTCCTCTTTTGTGATTGTCTCTCATGTCGATAGTGTCGGGGTCTTTGCGTCTTGAATTTCCTCCCGCGCACCGGTCTCGAAAAAAAAGTTCTGGGGTACCGGGAAGGGAATAAAAATCACTCACCCATCTGGAAGAATTGAACGTTAGTATAAATCTCCGATAAAATCTAGTAGGAGGTACTCACTGTGATTGTCGCTGTGGTGGATGAGTCGTTAGTGTGCCGTCGGTGGAAAATGAGAATTGTGAGGTTCCAATTGTGCTTAGGGTTGCCGCCCTTGCCCTAAGCGAGTGGAGGCTTTCCGTTCTGCGCTAGTCTACTTTGGTAATACAACTGAGCCACCGTCCTTCCGCCACATCCCATCAGCCACACTGGCTCACCTTCCCCACATGTCTTCTCCAAAAGTATGGCGTTCCTCACTTGATTGTCTTTGTCTCTGTCGGGTCGGATCTTAACCCTTACCCCACCTCGAATGCTTCTTTCCAACTGATCACTTCCCAATCAATTCAACTAAAACACTCTTCCGCCAGAGGGGAGTTCGCCATGGGTTCTATCGCGATCGCGTTCAAGAACGCATACCTCAACGGGTCCGGCCCGGAATTAGCTGCAGTGCTCACCCCGATCGCGCCGTCTGAGGATCGTGATCGGCTGCGCCGCTTCTTTCAGCTCTCCAACGCAGAATTTATATCCAAGGATCTCAACTATGCTCTCTTCCACGGGAAAAGCCTGAAATTGCCAAAGGCTGAGCAGGCTGCGTGGGTTGATATCTTTATTGTTTACTGGGAAGCTATAGGCGAAATACTTCGGTGTGAAGATCGTCTTCCCGGTGCTAGCGTCGTTACAGTCTTCAATACCTGGAAAAAGGTTGCCAATGCCCTCATCCGGGGATACTCGGGCCCTGCTGGCATTCCGGCTTGGACATTGCCATGTTTGTATACAGTCGGGAAGTACTTGCGTACTTTTGCCATCAATGCGGATCTCGAA